CGAAAGTCAAGACGAAAGTCAAAGTGAAAATCAAAGTTAAAGTCAAAGTTAAAATGAAAGTTAAAATGAAAGTCAAAATCTTGTCATAACGAAAATAGTAAATGCAGTACTGCATATCTCGGCGTAAAGATAAGTTGGAACCCCTTCATTTACAAGTCCTACTATTCGATAAATGCACATCGTAAGAAGCTGCAAAATATCAAAAGTGAATAGAACTTTTTGCCAACAAATATTTCGGAGTAAATCTTCTTTATTTTCTTTAATTTCAGCATTATTTTGAATTTTTTTACCTTTGAGGAGCTTTCCATAAAAAATGAACTCCATTATAATATAATAAGACCGAAAGATGGTTGCGATTACATCATTTGTGAAATAACTTGCTTGGATGAATTCGCATTTGTCACCACAATATGATCCCTGACAATTAACTTGGTTCAGAATGCTAATGATAAACCAAGCAATCAATTCCAAAAGGCGGAGTAGAATAATGGCGCAATTGGGAATGGCATATTTATGTTCTCTAAGTTCCTTTACAACTATAGAACATCGATAGTATGCCAGAAACAGCAAGGGAGGCTTGATAATTAAATAACAGAAGGTCCTTACGACATTAAGTCCATAGAACCATTCTACAGACGATTTGTCTGAACATCTTGTAAAGCTTACTGCATCTGAGTTTTTGCACTTCGAGTCCGGATTCAAGATCTGAGCTTCTGAACAGTTCGAACTTGTTATTAATTGGAAATACGTGATTATTTCATTAAGAAACATAGCTACATTAACAATACTAATAAGAATTATTAGCCATTTATCAATCTCAGACTTTTTTGATATCATTAGACAAAATGAATAAACAGTTAGAGCCAAGCATATAGCAAGAAACCATGCTGAGATAATAGCGAAAATTCTGGTAATGTAGGTATTATCTTTAGCATAATCCATTGAATTTTTTTATCGCTTTAACTGTTTATGTGCTCAAATATATGTTAAACACTGTCAAAATTAACAAAATAGCGTATGAGCATTTTAACATCTGATTTTAATAGCGAACTTTAAATAAGGGAAATGCAACAGGAGACCGGAGACTCGGAGACCCAATTTCGTGAGACAATTTATTTTACACATAATAATTACTATATGATCATATAAATAGGGGCATTCGGTGCTTAATTGAAAAATGAAATAAATATATATATCTATTTTAACCGAAACCGAATTTTAATTTAGAAATCGTGTCAAATGAATGCTAACTAATAAATTGGTTAGTTTATTGGACACGCCCAATGATTAGTCACCCCAATTTTAATTTTGAAATCTTTTTGCTACGTATTACCAATTCTCTATGCAAACTTTCTCTAAATGCACAGTATAGTTTGGTCACACTTTGCAAGAACTTTATATATTGTTTTTTCTATATATGCGTACCTTAAAGTTTGATTGTATTACACAAATACTAAACATATCAATTAATATGATCGTTTAAAAAAAGAGAACCACGTGATCTTCGCGATGAACTTTCTAAATAGAAAAGATCCAAATCAGTGTCTGAAATTGGGTTGCGGAATCTGCGGACCGCAACAAATTTTAAATTTTTGCAAATAAAACTTGATATGCAGGTGCGGAATCTGCAAATAATTTTCTAAATTTCCGCAAGTTTTCCGCATATTATTTTAAATTATACATATCCCGAAAGTAAGATATTTAATTCACTTGCGGGTTCTATACTGGATTATTAATATGCAGTTTTGTAGAGCATACATAGCGTCGCCCCAAAAAAATGGTAGCCAGATTTTTTGTTGGTTTACATCGATTTTGAAAACTGAGTGCTGGTAAAGTTGTGTTTATCATACATAAAAATAATATTTCGTTTTGATTTTCGCTTTGATTTTCGTCTTGACTTTGATTTTGACTTTCACTTTGACGTTCACTTTGATTTTCATTTTACTTTCACTTTGACTTTCACTTTGACTTTCATTTTAACTTTCATTTTAACTTTGACTTTAACTTTGATTTTCACTTTGACTTTCGTCTTGACTTTCGTTTTTACTTTCGTTTTGATTTTCGGTTTGGCTTTCGGTTGACTTCCGTTTAGACTTATACAAACAATACTTTTAACAATTTAGCAGATTAATTAACTAAATAATATATATCTAAAATATTATT